ACGCAACGCGTGCAAAAGCCCGCCCCGCGGTGGGAATGCGGAGCTCCGAGTTCCAGCCGGGAGGAGCGCTCGGGCTTTTGCCCCTTGCAAGAGGAGGGGGTCACGCGCGATCCCCGTTGAATCCCACTCTCTGGAAATACACGCCGCTCGTGAGAATGCGTGCATTTGCAAGGGATCGCGGCTAAAGCGGCCGCGGGTGTGGATGGAGTCAAACTGGGCACTCGCGCATCCGGTCTTGACCCGTGTTGGAAGCGGGATCGGGGCTGCGTGGTTTGCTGGCCCCCCAAATGGGGCGTGGGGGGGAGCGGCTTGGGGGGCGTGGGAAAGGGTCTTAAAGCGAGGTTTCCACCCTTCTGCCTTTAACAGATAACATCAGAGTTGGAAGAGGGACCTTGTAGGTCATCTAGTCCAACCCCCTGCCCAAGCAGGAGACCCTACTACACCATATTTGAACCCGGAGGTCTCTTCAACTCGGGGTAGTAAGTAGGAGGCTGAGTAGGGCGGCTGGATTTGGAACAAGAGAGGGGCTGCTCCAGATCCGGGTCTTTGCCCACTCCACCCCCCCCCCAAGATGGGTTTTGCTGATGGCAACTAGGATGTGCCTGCCCGCATCTTGCAAAAAGTGATGCAGTTGTGGTGCTGGAAAGCAGGTAGGGACAACTTTGCCATCTGTGGACTTCAACTCCCAGAATTCCCCCACTCGGCTTAAAATTGCTGACCTGGCTGGGGAATTCTGGGAGTGGAAGTCCACCCGCCCTGAAGTTACCGAACCAGCTGGGGAATTTGAGGAGTGGAAGTTGCTGAGATTGACAAATGCCAATCTAGATGTTGCCCTAGTGGGAGGCGTTCTTCGATTGGCGAATTGGGAAGGGGGGGGGTTCTCTTCCCAAAACGTACAAAGGACCTTCTATCCAATTGTGGGATGGGATAAATAGAATATCCCAGTGGATTAAAATACCCGGGAGAAATCCCGCGGGGAGGTGGCCAGGATGAAGTGAGGTTCTAAAAGTCTCCGTTGAAAAACTCGAGGGGTCCCTGGTGCTCTCTGAGCTTGGTGGTTTTCTTGCAGACATTTCATGACCCAGCCAGGTTATGTCATCAATGCTAGAAGGGAGTGGGGTTTGCGAGGAAGAGGAGAAGGGCGAGGAGGAGAACTGTGGGGTCCTTGGTGCTCTCTGGCCTGGGATGGTTTTCTTGCAGACGTTTCATGACCCAACTAGGTTGCATCATCAGTGCTAGAAGGGAATGGGGATTGAGGAGGAGGAGGAGGAGGAGGAGGAGGAAGAAGAAGAAAACAATTGTAGGGTCCTTACTGCTCCCTGAGCTTGGTGGTTTTCTTGCAGACGTTTCATGACCCAACTAGGTATCATCATCAGTGCTATGGTGATGAAACCTCACTCTCTTCCATCACTGATCGTGTTATCTAATTGGGTAATCTGCAAGAAAACAACCAACTCCTCTTTCCTCCCTTTTCCTTCTCCTCCCCTCCGCAAACCTCACTCCCTTTTAGCATTGATGATGTTACCTAGTTGGATCATGAAACATCCGCAAGAAAACCGCCCAGCTCAGAGAGCACCAAGGACCCCACAGTCCTCCTCCTCCTCTCTTGCTCCTCCCTGCAAACCCCACTCCCTTCTCGCAGTCCCCTTCCTCTTCCTTCTCCTCCTCCATTCTACAACCACACCCCCTTCTAGCACTGATGATGTTACCTAGTTGGCCCACGAAACGTCTGCAAGGAAACCACCCAGCTCCGAGAGCACCAAGGATCCCTAATTTCAACCCCGAGCTACAAATATTCTCCAAATAAGAATACAAGTTTTTTATTATTATTATTATTGGAAAAAACCTGAAGATTAATGGCTAAACCTTCGGGCTTATAACTTCCCACGCTTGTTCTCCAGATCTGGGGGTTCAAGGAACTTGGAAAGATGGACCACCCGATCCTTGTGACTCCCATTCCTGACCAAGGACCAGTTCCGATGCTTCCGGTCTTTTTCTGTACAGGTGATTTCCATGGTGCTGGTGGCTGTCGGGATCTATGCGCGGCTGTTCAAGCATGCAGGTAAGGTCTGTGGAGATTCTCCGCCACCCAAGTCAGGGCAGTCCCAGAGATGCTTTGGTTTCAAGAGGCAACTGGACATGTCTTGGTTTTTTTTTTTTTTCTTTGAAGAGGTTTTCGCTTCTCATCCAAGAAGCTTCTTCCGTTCTGACTGGATGGTGGGGAAGGAAGGATTGATACTCCTTGCAGACAGCTGGTCATTTGCATCCTTTTTAAAGAGACGTTGAGGCCGCCTGGAGATGTGTCTGTGTCCTCAGAGTCACCTGAGTGGTGCAGATGGGTGTGGAACCTTCTGACTGGTTGGTGGGGAATGGAAGGATTTAAACTCCTTGCAGACAGCTGGTCATTTGCAGTCTTTTATAGAGTCGTTGGGGCCACTTTGGAGGTTTACCTTTGTCCTCAGGGTCACCTGAGTGGTGCAAAGGGGTGTGGAGCCTTCTGACTGGATAGTGAGGAATGGAAGGACTGATACTCCTTGCAGACAGCTGGTCATTTGCATCCTTCTAGAGAGACGTTGAGGCCACTTGGAGGTTTCTCTGTGTCCTCAGGGTCACCTGAGTGGTGCAAATGGGTGTGGAGCCTCCTTGGAAGTGCTGAAAGGACTGTGCAATTCCAAGAAGGCTCCCCAACCATTTGCACCACTCAGGTGTGACTCTGAGGACACAGAGAAACCCCCAAGTGGCCTCAACGACCCTCTAGAAGGATGCAAATGACCAGCTGTCTGCAAGGAGTATCAGTCCTTCCATTCCTCACCATCCAGTCAGAAGGCTCCACACCCATTTGCACCACTCAGGTGACCCCGAGGACACAGAGAAACCTCCAAGTGGCCTCAACGACCCTCTAAAAAGGATGCAAATGACCAGCTGTCTGCAAGGAGGATCAATACTTCCTTCCCCACCATCCAGTCAAAAGGCTCCACACTCATTTGCACCACTCAGGTGTGACTCTGAGGACACAGATAAACCTCCAAGTGGCCTCAGCGACCCTCTAAAAAGGATGCAAATGACCATCTGTCTGCAAGGAGTATCAGTCCTTCAATTCCCCACCATCCAGTCAGAAGGCCCCACACCCATTTGCACCACTCAGGTGTGACCCTGAGGACACAGAGAAACCCCCAAGTGGCCTCAACGACCCTCTAAAGGGATGCAAATGACCAGCTTTGTCTGCAAGGAGTATAAATCCCTCCATTCCTCACCATCCAGTCAGAACTGAAGAAGCTTCCGGGATGAGAAGCAAAACATCTTGAAAGAAAAACCAGAAAGTCGAGTTGCCTCTTGGGGGAAAAAAAACGCACCTTTGGGACATGGAGGTAAGGCCTTAGCAACAGGGGTCCCACCCAGCGTGCTTCATTTCCCCAGGAGCTACGGTTAGTCCTTGACTTAAAATCATTTGTTTAGCGCCTGTTCCAAGTTAAAATTCCGCCGAGAGGAGTAACTTACGACTGTTTTATGTTCGTAAATCAAGGAAACGCCCCCTCCCCCCACCGTCTAGGGTCTCCTCCTTGAGCCAAGGGCTGGACTAGAAGATCTCCAAGGTCCCTTCCCGCTCTGTTGTTCTAAAAGTCCTTCCTGCTCAAGCGGGGGGGGCGGGGTCGGACTAGAAGACCTCTAAGGTCCCTTCCAGCCTAGGATTCCATGCAGGGGTGGGATTCAAATTTTATAACAACTGGTTTGGTGGGCGTGGCTAGGTGGGCGTGGCCATGTGACTGGGTGGGTGGGTGGCTTCTCTTTTGGGGGGCAATAGCCCCCCTCTCATTTTTGGGGCCTTCTGGGTCTCAGGGAAGCCTCCTGGGCAAAGCAGTGAGACAGTGAGGGGGATTCTGGCATAGCTGATCGTCGGGAGAGGAAAAAAGAAAATAAATATCTTTTTTTAAAAAAAAAACAAGTTTTATTGGTTTTTAAAGACAAACAAAAACAAACAAAACATGAAAACATCCAACTTTCTTTCATAAATGCACAAGCAGCATGTCGGTTGGTTTACAAATTTTTTATGCATCCATTTCATAGTCTCAATTACAGTTACACTGCATGATAACTCATATTATCAATCAAAAATTGAATACCCTCGTATCACAATCAATCAGTCATTTGAAGATAATTTTGTTCATTCATACTTTGCGGGATAACTACAATTGATTTAGTTTATTTTATAACAATTCATATAATCCTCCCAAATCTATCCTAAAAACATTTTATAGATATGGTACCAAAAAAAGAAATACCTCTTTATATATTCATTATTTCCTAAAATTCGAAATATTCTATTAGAAAATAAATATCTTAAGGAGTGACTGGACAGGGGAGTACACAGTCAGCGATGTTGGCCATGTGTGCGATGTCGCACATGCGCGATAAGGACTGACTGGGTGTTCTGACCCAAACCTGGTTCCAAGGAAACCAACATGAAACGGAGGTAACAGCAAAAGCTTTTAATGCTTCTCTGCGAAATCCGTTCCTTCCCGGTGAAAAGAGCTGTTTCAAACTAATTGTCTCCGATAAGAACGAGCCTTGCCAAGGCGGTGCAAGGCTGCCAAGAACACTAGATAAAGTTGCCAAGAAATATTTCAAACACAAAAGAGTCTCGAAACACCAACTCGGATATTCCTAACCTCCACCGGGCTCGAGTATCAAACGTCTTTGCTTTCTGCAAAGAACTGCAGCTTCTCAGCTGGCTTTTATATCTTCTCAGGGAGGGGCCATTATCTTCCAACCTGACTCTTGAATCGCTCGTGCTGCTGCAGCCGCTCTTCCCTTCGAGCAGCCCTGCGCACACACGCACTTGGCACAGGCTCCTCGGGGTGCTCTTCCTCACTGCTGCCAGCCTCCACAACCTCCGAAGGCAGCACCCCACTTCCTGGTGGTCTTGGCCCCATCCCTGCATCACACGCAGACCCCCTCATCTGAGTCCTCGCTCTCCGAGACCTCAGCCATCCGCACCTGCTGCCGGCGAACCACAACACTGGGTGGGGAGGGGAATTGTGCCAGCCAGGGGCACAATTTGCCGGTTCTCCGAACTGCGCAGGATCATAACAACCAGTTCTATAGAACCGGTCCGAACCGGTTAGAATCCCACCCCTGATTCCATGGTTGAAGTGAAAGGGAGAACCAACCTAATATGATGGTTTTGTTGGATCCAAAAATGTGGCCAAACTGGACACACCTGTTTCTTTTCCTCTGTCCTCCGTAGAAGCCGCCGTGGCCTGCCTTGCTATGGATCCAGCCATCTTGCTGGTGGTTGTTGGCGTCCTGATGTTCTTCCTCACTTTCTGTGGCTGCGTTGGCTCCTTGCGGGAAAACATCTGTTTACTGCAGACGGTGAGCGGGTCCTCTATGTACGGTCAAGGCTAGCCACCCCAAAAGCCCTTCGACTTATATACTGCTTCACAGGGCTTTTATACAGCCCTCTCTAAGCGGTTGACAAAGTCAACCTCTTGCCCTCGCCCCCCCCCCAACAGTCGGGGTCCTCATTTGACCGGAGCAGGTCAGGATCGAACTGTTCGCAGTGGGCAGAGTCAGCCTGCAATGCTGCATTCTAAGC